CCCCTTTAATTGGTTCGGAACGGCCCGTTCTGGTCTAGAACGGCCCGTTCCAACCTATTTTTTTTAGGCCTTTTAGAAGCCTTGGAACGGCCCGTTCCAATTCGAGAACGGCCCGTTCCGGACTTGGGAACGGCCCGTTCCGATTTTGGAACGGCCCGTTCCGGGCCACTAAAAAAAGTTGATTTGGGCCTTTGGACCCTCTGATGTCCTATCTTATTATTTGTATGCCCCCCCGGACGAAATTGGGTGTCTACACATGGTAGGGTGTTGTGATTCGTTGTTGGATGTGCCGCCTCTCGCCACTATAAAGTGTAGGTTTTTTTGTATTACTTGGGGCATAGGAAAAGTTTTACCGTAGCCCCACGGTGGACGCTAAAATATTATGGCCAAAGGGTGGACTAGGGTTTTTCTCCTAGATCAAGCCTCCAGGCCAAAGCATTCAAGAGTGTAATCTGCCTGTTTAGCTCTAGGATTTTAGGTTTTATACTTTCTTGTTCTTGGGCCTCATGGGCCCCGTAAATGTAGAGATTTCTTCATCATTAGTATTTGAGAGATATTCGATACTTAAAGGTAAGATCCTATCCTTAATTCTGGTCTTGTATCCATATGAGGAAACAGGATCAAAATCTGGCTGAGGCAACATTCCCACAAAAGGACCAGGTTGGATATTGACCGAGCAGCCCCTTACAGGGAAATAAGGTCAGAAATTGACCGGGTGAAGCCCTACAGAGAAGCGAGGTCAGAATATGACCGAGTTCCCCCTATCGAGAGGTCAGATCAGCTAATACTGAGTGCCCCCATACCGAGGTCAGATCGACTTATACCAGGGACGGAACACTTGCCTTCCAGCCCTGAGCCAAATAAGGCGAAAGGGCTTAACTATTCCCCACCTCGAGTCTAGAGCCTACGCAGGGGAATGCATCAGATTATCACCGAGATGGTACACTTGACCGAGTGCCCCCACATCGGGGTCAGATCGGCATGTACCCGGGACGGTACAGAACCCAATTGGAGGAGTTGAAGACCTAATTTTTATTTTCCCTTAATTCTTTCTTAATTTCTTTTGGGCCACTTGTATTTGGGCCTTGTTTCTTTATTTTGGGTTGTAATTGGCCATTTTTAAACCTCTTCATTTTTTGTGGTAGTTTCATGTAGATTGAAGGTGATTTGAAAACCTTCACCTAGGAAATCCGACTAGTATATGTTTAAGTGCTTTCCTTTGCATGCTTTATAGCTTTTGTAGTATAATTGCCTAGGACTTATTTTATCTAGTTGTTGCGTTTAGGAGGCTTCATTTTTCCTACTGTGGGGCCGTGCACACCACACACTTTATTCTTGTGCAAAATTGTTTTTGTGAGAAAAGTGTGAAAAAACTTAGTGATTTTTACTTGAAAAGGGTTGGTTTTTAAGTGATTCTTAGTAGTCCACCTCCCTTGATAGTTCACTTTGTACACCTAGGCCTTTTCATACCAAACTTGCACCATGAAAACCTTTTTGTGAAAACCTTTTTATCACTCATTCTTTGTGAAAACCTTTTTTTTTACCAACCTTTTTGAAAACAAATTTGTGAAAACCTTTTTGATCAGAGATGAGTGATCATTCTAGTGTACATGGTCATAATTCTTGTAGTACTAGGTCTAGTGTTAGGGAAGAACTTAGAGAATTAAAAGAATACTTGAGAAAAAAAGAGGAAGAAAATATAAAAGTCAACAATTAGGAATTTTCATCCCCTCGAAAGCTTCCAAAATAAGATATCAGTGGAACTGCCCTGGTCGACCAACACACGCTTCACGTTATATCCCATCACAATTTCCGATATGACGATGGGATCATCCTCATGGGGAGTTACTCCTTCGTAGTCAGAATCTGAGAACGAGATTTTGGGTTGAGGAGGTCGCCAAAATTCCGATATGGTTAGCACGGAACGAGTGTACGTCTTCCGGGCAGCTGAGGTGAGGCCTCTTCCTGCAAATCCCCTTGCTACGGTATTAAAGTCCCCATGAATAGGCTGCTGATGCACTTCCGACACCTTTGTAGGTGGTCCCTGGGGGGACCTTTCTTTGTGTCTGTCTCTCCTTGCACCGTCCTTTGCATGCCTGTGTCCCCTTTCCGACGAGCCTTCCTCATGTTTTCTTGCGACAAACTTTTTCAAACGTTCTTCCTTGATTAGACGCTCAATTTGTCTCCCTAGGACGAAATAGTTCTTAGTGGTATGTCCATGAGTCCTGTGAAACTCACACCAATCAGTCTTGAAGGGACCCAACTGACGCTCCATCGCCGCTGAAAACTCAAAGAGTGATGCACTATTGACGTCTTGAAGTATCTGCCTCCTAGGAACATTGAGCGGAGTAAACTTTTTTTCCTCATTGTTTCGTGCCCACTCGCCTTTTGTCCGACCACCATAATCCGCCTGTCTGTGATTGCCTTCCTTCACATTATAACGATCCTGTCGCTTACTCCAATCTGAGCGTGCATGGAGGTGCTTATTGTCCTCCTTATTGTCAACCCCTGCTTCTCGATTTTCTGGCACTCTTTTATTGATTTGTCCTGCCTCCATCTTTATATGACTCAGGGCGAAAGCTCTTACTTCTGACATCATTTGGCAATTTACTTTCTCCTGCGCGACGTCAAACTTACCCGATCTTAGTCCCTTTTGAAAGGTGATGACCGCCATCCTTTCGTCCAAGGATGCTATCCTCAAGGCCACCTCATTAAACCTTTGCAAAAAGTCCTTCAACAACTCCTCACGTTGCTGTTTGAGATCAAACATGTCCGATGTGATCGGTGGTTTTCTTTTATTGGCTACAAATTGTGCCATGAAAAGCTGACTAAAAACATCAAAGTCGGTGACTGATCGGTCAGGAAGACCGCTAAACCAATCGAGGGCTGCCTTTTTGAGCGTGCCCATGAACAACTTGTAGTGGATTTCCATACTCCCTCCATAAATTAGCATTTGAGCTTAGAAATCCATCAAGTGTTGACTAGGATCCTAGGTTCCATCAAAAGGTTCCACCTAGGGGACCCGGTGGTCCCTCGGGATGGTCTCGACCTCTATAGCCTCTAAGAAAGGTCTGAAGTCCCTGGGGACTTTCATCATGACATCTTCCTCCGCCGTTCTGGTATTGGCTACTATAATAGCCTGCATCTCATCAGCTCGTCGTCTGATCTCCTCGTTTTCTCGTTGAATAACCCCCTCCCTCTCCCTGGATCACGCATTCTCCCCTCTCAAGCCATTAATCAATGCCATCATCTCCTCCATGGTAGGTAGGGGTGGGCAAAAAAAACTGAACTGAACTGAACTGGTGGTGAACTGAACTGTACTGTACTATAAAAAACTGAACTGTTTGTAAAAAAATTGAACTGAACTATTTAAAAAAAAAACTGAACTGAACTGAACTGTTGGATAGTTAACTGTATTGAACTATAAAACTGAACTGAATTATAAAAATTGAACTATTTTTATAAAAGGATAAAAATTAAATGTGTCTAACATGTTATGTCTTAATGGATTAACTCGATAGTCTAATAACCAAAACTTAAAAAAAAAAAAAGTGATCCAAAAAAAATTGTATCAATTTTGTCGAATCTAACGGATCAATTGAGCTATGTTGGACTACTTATTTTTAGGCTTAAAATTCAATGAGTTTGTTTGACTTAATTATATATATATATTTTTTGAAAAATTTAAATAAAATGGAAAATAAAGTAATATTGGCAAATGTGTCTTATTTTGATAGATCAATGAGTCAAAATTGTTCAATTCAAAATATCATAACAGTTCAGTGCAGTTTAAACTGCAGTTCAGTTCAAGTTTTTATAGTATAGTTCAGTTCAGTTCAATGACACAAAAAAATAGTTCAGTTCAGTTAGTCTGAACTAATATTTAGTTTAGTTCAGTTCATAAGAACTATTTTTAAGTTCAGTATAGTTTTTATAAGTTCAGTTCAGTTCAGTTCATTTTGCCCACCCCTAATGGTAGGGTGTTGTGGGTCATGGTTGGATGTGCCGCCTCTCGCCATAGTAGGGTGTAGGTTTTTTGTATTTCTTGGGGCGTAGGAAAAGTTTCACCATAGCCCCACGGTGGGTGCCAAAATGTTCCGACCAAAGGGTGGACTAGGGTTTTAGGTCTTATACTTTCTTGTTCATGGGCCTCATGGGCCCCGTGAACGTAGAAATTTTCATAACCGTTAATATTTGAGAGATATTTGATAATTAAAGGTAAGATTTTGTCCTTGACTTAGGTCCAACGTCTATATGAGGAGGTTAGGATCGGGATCTGGCCGAGATAACGTTCCAACGAGAAGGGACAGGTCAAATTCTGACCGAGTATCCCCCTACAGAGAGGCCAGATCAGATTATGACCGAGTGGACCCCTGTAGAGAGGTCAGATTAGATTTTGACGAGTGTCCCCTTGTATGGAGGTCAGATCGGCTTATAACCGAGTATCCCCCTGTATAGAGGTCAGATCGTCTTATAACCGGGATGGTACACACACACACACACACACACACACATATATATATATATATATATATATATATGTTCTTACTAGAGATCGGTCAAAGGGGACGATCTACTTGGCAAGATTGGTGAGCCTCCTTCGTTGGGTACGTCGGCTGTTCTGAAGTGGGGGTGGTACCTGCAAAAGAGACTCTGATGCTAAAGTTAGTATTTGTGGGTGTATAAGTCTCGTATATGTAGTTCACGTACCTTAGTGTGAATTAGGGTTTATCTGGGCCTTGGGCCTGAAGTTGGTTTTGATCCGTTTAGATGGTAGGCTCTTGTTTTGGCCGATGTCTTGTAGCGCTCGTCTGATGTCGTCTGGGGCTTCAGTGCACTAGCCCCCCAAGCTCCAAAGACCGTGGGTCGCGGAGATAATGCCGAGGTCAGTGAAGGGTTGCGACTCTTCGTTTATGCTTCTTTTGTGAAACGCCACGTGTCATAAGTGTCGCCTCGTCTCCTGAAATGCATGGGCGACATGTTAATGGGGGGTGACGGTTTTGCAATGATGGGATGCACCCATCATTATGGGCTTCATTTAATGCCTTGTCAGTTTTTTCGTTTCTTGCCCTTATGTCACTTCCGTTTTCAATTTTGTAAAATGGCTTTCCCTCTCTTCTTCGCACACTCTCAACTTCACTTTTCCCTTTCTCCTTTGGCTTCCTCTCGACGCTTCGTTCTTCCTTGCCCACCCCTCGTCTCAGTTCTCTTTCATTGACTCTGTTTCCAACAATCAGGTCACCGTCCTTCGCCACTATCCTATCATTGTCAAAGGAGTACCAGGTACTTCTCCTCCTCTGTCTTCTTTTCTATTTTTCCTCTTTTCAAATTTTCTCCATTCTTAATGGCTGGTGAGGGAGAGAGTGCCACACCTTCTGCGCCGGCCAAAGGCAAGGGCAAGGCGCGCGGCAAGGCAGCGACCTATGAGACGGTTGTTGCTGAAAAGAAGAGGGGTGGGAATAATCCTAATGATTCTCACCCCACCATTTTCGTCCCGGGGTATGAGTGGGTCAGGGGGGATGTCGAAGAGTTTGAGAGTCTGTTCAAGGCATTTGTGGATGTCAACGCCATATGGAAATCTCTTAAGATTTGCAATTCCATAATTTCCAAGCTCGTCCGGGTTGAGCCTTGCCAGCCTGGTGAACGTGTTTACATGGCGGGTACCCCTAATACCCCATTTTTCTATATGTACGAGTGCTTTTTTAGGGACCTCGGTGTTTGCTTGCCATTCACCGAGTTTGAGTTCTTTCCTTCGGTTTATCAACGTGGCTCCCTGCTAATTGCACCCTAATAGTTGGGGTTTTCTTAGGGCTTTTCAGGTTTTGTGTTCAGCCCTAAGAATGGGTGTGTCTCTTCTTGTCTTTTTGCATTTTTACCAACTAAAGTTGGGGGAGCCTCCGCTGGGTTTGGTGTCTATGAATGGGAGTAAGGCTGGGGGTTGTTCCAGCTTTACTCTCAGTCCTACAAAAATTTTAAAAAATAGTTTTTCTGGGTTCGACCTGCGATTGCTGATCCAAGGGAGGAGGTGGTCTTCCATAGCGAAGGGGAGTCGAGGTTCCCTTTCTTCTGGCAGCGGAGCCCAGTCAAATTCAATGTGTCGAGATGTCTTTAGTTGTTAGATTCGGATAAGGAAGACATCGTCAAATTGGCCGAGCTTCCACGCCCGCTGGACAATAAACTCATCCTGTCCCTTTCCAATTTGACTAATAAGAAAAGGGGTTTAGAGAGTGAGTATTCCATTATTTTCCCCTTGCCTCTTCTTTCTTTTTTCTTTTTGTTGCTTCTTGCGATGTCTTGACGTGTTATGCTATTTTGTGTTTGTAGGTCTGATGGGGAAAAGCAAGTGGCGCGAGCTGAAGGCCAAATTTAATACGGAAGAGCTCGAGGTACCCGAGCCTGGTGAAGAGGTGCCTGGCGAGGAGGTCGCCCCGCTAGAGACTCGCTGTAAGAGGAAGAGGGCAACGAGGGAGGTTGGTGGGACCTCATCCCCTTTCGCTTTCGATGCGGTGACCTTGAGGGCCGCCGATGCCAACCCCATTGACTTAACTGATAGTCCCCCGCCCGGGGGGTCGCCAAAGAGGCCCATAGTGGAGGTCGCTCAAGAGAGACAGGTTTTCCCCTTGCTTTGTGTAGTTCCCCTTTTGTCGTGTACCGTTTCTTCTTTATAGCTTAACACTTTATTGTTAATTTGAATGTTTTGTAGGTGACTCTCGTGCCTTCCTCCGCTGAAGCTCGTGGGGAAGGTCTACGTTTAGAGGTTCCTCCAACCTCGGTTCTTGCAACCTCGGTTCCTCCAACCCCGGTTCCAACGACCTCGGTTCCTCTAACCCCGGTTCCTCCGACATCTGCTCCTTCTGTTGCTGTGCCACCTCCTCCTCCAGGTGTCTCGAGGGGGAAGTGTATTGTGCAGCTTTTTGATGTTAGTCACCCCTTGGCGAGATTAGATCACATGAGCCTGTCACTGGACATGGACTCGTTGTGGAGTTCCAAGGTGACCACCGAGGCCTTTTACAAGGAGGATTCGACCTTTGTTGCTGATAAGGCGATGATCTAGAAGGTTGGTTCGGTTGAGGGCTTGGACTCTACGGAGGTGTTTACGTAGAGGTCCATTGCCATAGTGGACCATTAGAAGCGCAAATAGTCAGATCTTCAAGGTGATCTTAAGAATGCACGGAGCCGGGTCGAGCCCTTGGAGGAGGAGAATTGGGCCTTGAAGGCCGCGCTGGGGGAGGTTGCAAAGAAAGGTGAGGCTGAGCTTCAAGCTTCGAGGAGAGATCTTTTGAAGACTCAAAAGTCTTTGGAGATTGCTTTGGAGGCCAATGAAGCGTATGCCGCCGAGGTTGGTAACCTGCAGGAGGTTGCCAAGATTTGCAATGCAGAGGGTGCGCGGAGCCGAGCCCTATCCTTGGAGGAGGAGAACTGGGCCTTGAGGGCCGAGTTGGGGGAGGCTATAGAGAAGTGCCTGTGCGATGAGGTGTTCCTAGCTGGTAGGGAGGAGGAGATAGGGGCCTTAAGGGCCGATATTGATGCGTTGACCACCTCGAGGAAGGCTTTGGAGGATAAGCTTCTTGAGATCGCGTGTGCCGTTGTGGTTGAGCATCAGTGAGGTTTTGCTAAGGAAGTGCATCAGGCTAAGTTGATTGCGCCAGGGGTCAGCCTCTCTACTATGCACATAGAAAAAGATGTGCGGGGTGGGCAACTGGTGAACGAGGATGACTTGTCTGATAGCACAAGTGGCAACGCTGCCTCTAGGCCTTTTCCTTTGATTTCCCTGTACTTAATTCATTTTACAATTTTTGTGTATAAAATCTTTTGTTGAATTGTGCCTGTTTATTCAACATTGATTATTTTGTTATGCACTTTTTGATGTTTCTTGTTTGACTCGCATCCGTCTCAAGGTTCAACTTTGACCCTTGATTTTATTCTAAGAAT